TAGTTGTCAACACTAACGTAGTGTTCTCACCATTGATCCCAAGTCTATTCATGGTTTCTGTCTTAATGAATGTTCCACCACTTCCGTTATCTAGTAGAGCATATACCTTTACTTTATTCTCTGGTTTGCTTTTATGGAATAGCCAGACCACTACAACTCCCATGCTGACTGGAACATCGCCAGCTTCAGTGATACTGCATACGGTAAGTCCACTATTTATTCGTTCTTGATCGTTCTTCCCAAGTTCTTGTGTTTTGTTATCCTCTCTTGAATCAGTTTGGCGCCTTTTGGACTTTGACTTCCAATCAGGGTCATGTAATACAAGGGATGCTTCTTTCACACGTCTTGCATGTTAGCTTATCATTACACTTGCTTGAAATGTGTCCTTGTTTCAAACATCCAAACATAGCCCTTTTCTCTAATAAAGCCTTTACGCTCAAGCAGAGTTTTCTTTCGAAATTCTTCGCACTCATTTAAGTCGTGTGGCTTCAAGCATAATATACAGCTCTTAGTACGTTCTTTGTCTTTATTATCCCCTTTAACTACTGTACCAAAGTTCCTAGTACCCTTGTCTCTTCGATATCGTCCGGTGTCACCGAATTTATCCTTACTCTCTTCCTTCGACCTTTCCGAGAAATCTTCTGAGAACACTGGGTCTGTGGCGAAGTCAGCTTGTTCTGTGACGAACTTAAAAAATTCAGCAAAGGTTGCGTTTCTGCTCTGACTACTTCTTATTCTACTTGCTCGCTCTGTCCACTTGCTTCTCATGTACAGCGGTAACTTTTCCCATAGCTGACGTAACACTTGGGCAGTATTAAGGTCATCCATGTAGGGCAAGTTGGTTGTTGCATTCTTAGCTTGTTCTAGTGCGATAGCAAATTCTTGCAAACGCTTTCCATCCTTAGGTTTTACTGATGGCCATTTGGTGAGCCTCGCAATGTAGGCGTTTGCTACTTTGAAAGGATCTCCAAAATGTTTCTTTAACAACGCTTTAGCTTGGCTATAGGAATCATCCGATTTCATTTGAATACATCCTTTAATCACCTCGTTTGCCTTTCCAGATGTGTATTGGTCTAGGAAATACAACCGTTCGATAGGTTGTGTAACACATAAAACTTAAGCCAACCAAGCATACATATAAAACGTAAATAATTTCCGTTTTCTTAAAATATGATATGAAAACTTCATATTCAAATTCTTTCGAGATTTTAGTTCGCCAATGTTTTCAAATATCACCATTATTTACTAAAAATTTTCAGCTTTTAGTAATCGTATGCCACATTTAAAGCACAACAAGTACGTGTCAGTTGTGTAGATCTTAAAATGAAATTAACAAATAGTAGAAAAAAGGTCGAAAAATAAAAATTCATAACGAAAACAATTTACCGCTAAGTGTTTTTAAAAAATACGCAGGGGAGAGTGAATGTTGGAGCGGCCTCAATATTGAGCAGTGTCAGTGGTCATTACCATTGCCCAGTGGGACCACATCTGGCGTCAGCACGAAAAATCCGCCATGTTTCTTGCTTCACTTTTTGAGAAGAAAACATTAGGAACCGGTCCTCCAGGAATTATTATATAGCTCCGTGCATAACAATCATGATGGTCATAATGATGATCTTGATCATAATTAACATATTAATCGTAATAAATTATAGTTGCCATAGCAACCAAGATGATCATTATGATGATCTTGATCATAATTAGCATATTATTCATAATAAATGATTGTTACAATGGCAATTATAATTATCATTATGATGATCATGATCATAATTAGCATATTATTCATCATAAATTATGGTTACCATAGCAACCATGATGATCATTATGATGATCATGATCATAATTAGCATATTATTAATAAATGATGGTTGCTATGGCAACCATGATGATCATTATGATGATCTTGATCATATTCAGCATATTAATCATAATAAATGATGGTCACCATGGCAACTATGATGATCATGATGATAATCATGATCATATATAGCAAATTAATTATATTAAATGATGGTTGCCATGGCAACCATGATGATCATTATGATGATCTTGATCATCATTAGCATATTAATCCTAAAAAATGATGGTTACCATGGCAACCATGATGATCATTATGACGATCTTGGTTATAATTAGCATATTAATCAGAATAAATGATGGTTACCATGGCAACCATGATGATAATTATGATGATCATGATCATAATAAGCAGATTAAACATAATAAATTATGGTTGTTATGGCAACTATGGTGATCATTATGACGATCTTGATAATAATTAGCATATTAATTATAATAAAGTATGGTTTCCGTGGGAACCATGATGATCATTATCATAAATGATGGTTGCCATGGCAACCATGATGGTCATAATGATGATCTTGATCATAATTAGCATATTAATCATAATAAATTATGGTTGCTATGGCAACCATGATGATCATTATGATGATTTTGATCATATTTAGCATATTTATCATTGTAAATTATGGTTACAGTGGTAACTATGATGATCATTATGTTGATCATGATCATAATTAGCATAATAATCATAATAAATTATGGTTGCTATGGCAACTATGATGATCATTATGATGATCTGAATCATAATTAGCATATTATTCATAAGAAATGATTGTTACCATGGCAACCATGATTATCATTATGACCATCATGATCATAATTAGCATAATAATCATAATAAATTATGGTTGCTATGGCAATTGTGATGATCATTATGATGATCTTGATAATAATTAGCGTATTATTCGTAATAAATTATGGTTGCTATGACAACAATGATGATCATTATGATGATCTTGATCATGATTAGCATATTAATCATAATAAATGATTGTTACCATGGCAACTATGATTATCATTATGATGATCATGATCATAATTAGCATATTAATCATAAAAAATTGTAGTTACCATGGCAACCATGATGATCATTATGATGATTATGATCATAATTAGCATATTATTAACAAATGATGTTTGCTATGGCAACTATGATGATCAGTATCTACATCTACATCTACATTTATTGCTCTTCAACACTTTCGTATTATGGTTACAGTGGCAACTATGATGATTAGCATAAGAAGATCTTGATCATAATTAGCATATTAATCATAATAAATGATGGTTACCATGGCAACCATGATGATCATTATGATGATCATGATCGTAATAAGCAAATTTTCAATAAATGATGGTTACCATAGCAACCATGATGATCGCTATGATGATCTTGATCATAATTAGCATATTAATCATAATAAATGATTGTTACCATGGCAATTATAATTATCATTATGATGATCATGATCATAATTAGCTTATTATCCATAATAAAATATTGTTACTATGGCAACCATGATGATCATTATGATGATCATGATCATAATTAGCATATTATTAATAAATGATGGTTGCTATGGCAACCATGATGATCATTATGATGATCTTGAACATATTTAGCATATTAAGCAGTATTAATGATGGTTACCATGGCAACTATGATGATCATGATGATGATGATCATGATCATAATTAGCATATAAATCATAATAAATGATAGTTGCCTTGGCAACGATGATGATAATTATGATGATCTTGATCATAATTAGCCTATTATTCATAATAAATTATGGTTGCCATGGCAACCATGATGATCATTATGACGATCTTGATCATAATTAGCATATTAATGAGAAAAAATGTTGGGTAATATGGCAACAATGATGATTATTATGATGATCTTGATCATAATTAGAATATTAATCATAATAAATTATGCTTACCATGGCAACCATTATGATCATTATGATTATCATGATCATAATTAGCAAATTATTAATAAATGATGGTTGCTATGGCAACCATGATGATCATTATGGTGATCTTGATTATAATTATCATATTAGGCATAATAAATGATGGTTACCATGGCAATTATGATGATTATTATGATGATCATGGTCATAATTAGCATATTATTATTAAATGATGGTTGCTATGGCAACCGCAATGATCATTATGAAGATCTTGATGATAATTAGCATAATAATCATAATAAATGATGGTTACCATGGCAATCATGATGATGATGATCATGATCAAAGGTAGCATAATAATCATAATAAATGATGGTTGCTATGGCAAGCATGATGATCATTACGATGATCTTGATCATACTTATCATATTAATCATAATAATTTATGGTTACCGTGGCAACCATGATGATCATTATGATGATCTTGATCATAATTAGCATATTAATCAGGCTAAATGATGGTTACCATGGCAACCATGATGATCATTATGATGATCATGATCGTAATTAGTAAATTTTTAATAAATGATGGTTGCCATGGCAACCATGATGATCATTATGATGATCTTGATCATATTTACCATATTAATCATAATAAATGATGGTTACCATGGCAACTATGATGATCATGATGATGATCATGATCATAATTAGCATACCAATCATTATAAATGATGGTTGCCATGGCAACGATGATGATCATTATGATGATCTTGCTTGATCATAATTAGCATATTAATCATAATAAATGATGGTTGTTATGGCAACCATGATGATCATTATTATGATCTTGATCATACTTAGCGTATTAATCATAATAACTTATGGTACCCGTGGCAACCATGATGATCATTATGATGATCATTATCATATTTAACATAATAATCATAATAAATGATTGTTCCCATAGCAACCATGATGATCATTATGATGATTTTGATCATAATTAGCATAATAATCATTACAAATGATGCTTACAATGGCAACTATGGTAATCATTATGATGACCTTGATCATGATTAATATATTAATCATAACAGATAGTGGTAGCACGGCAAGATGGCGGAAGCAGAACTTTGAGCTCCGTCAATTTGCGAGAAAATTTAAGTATTTTTGTACATTTCTCTTTATTTTATTACTCAAACATCTTTAATTATGGGTTCAAAAGGTGCCATTACGAAAGATGTACTTGCATCTATTCTAGATGACAAATTAAAGCCTATTATTTCTACCATGGACGGGCTAAAGGAATCGGTTCACTTTATGAGCGAAAAATTTGACACTATCACGATGAAGATTAATGACCTAGATAAGAAATATTCAGCAGTGGAACTTGAAAATAAACATTTGAAAGTCGAAGTATTACGCTTGGCAAATATCGTTGAGCATCAAAGTGTTGAAATCAACGATATAGAGCAATACTCACGCCGTGATTGCCTGGAGATAGCTGGGGTGCCTGAAACTGAACAAGAGAATACAAATGAATTGGTGAAGAAAATTGGTAACTTAATTGGCGAAAATCTCAATGATAGTGATATTTCGGTTAGCCATCGGCTACCCAAACCAAGCTATAGCTCGCGTACAAGTGAAGGGATTTCTGGATACAGTACTAATTATTCAAAAATCATCGTCAAGTTTGTGGGAAGAGACACTAAGGAACGATTCTATAAAGCTCGCAAATACTTAAAAGATAAATCAACACGTGATATTGGAATTTCTACAGTAACAGAAAACAAGATTTTTATATCTGAAAGTTTAACGTCGAAAAACAGGGAACTATTTAAAGAATGTCTCAAGTTCAAACGTGACCATGACTTTAGATTTATATGGACGAGATCTGGCCGTCTATTTTTACGAAAAGACACAAATAGTCCAATTCACGCTATCTCCAACAAAACGGATCTTCAAGCATTACTACCTCGATAAGTATAATTTTATTCATCAGATAATTATGCTTATAATTGAGTGGCTTCAATGAGTGAAATTTATAATTCTCTTCCTAAATTTGACTTAATTTCTAAATTATCAAATATACCAAACTTTGATGCTGTTGATATAGAGAATAATCTGTTGCCCCAGATAAATTTCAATTACTACACAATTAACGATTTTAATAGTCAATATAGTACAAGTTTGGAAAGTTCTAATGACACCTTCTCTGTGTTTCACTGCAATTTAAGAAGTTTAAGTGCAAATTTCGACAGTTTTCTAACTATGCTCTCTGAAGTCCTGATTTATTTTGATATTATGGGTATTTCAGAAACTAAACTAATTGCCAATAAAGATCCAATTATAAATATTGAAATACCAAATTACCACTTTTTCTCACAACCCAGTTCCCAAATTGCTGGTGGTGTTGGCTTCTATGTTGGTTATGACCTTAATTTTCACTCTCGATTAGATTTTTCTTCTACCACAGAGGATTTTGAATATCTGTGGATTGAAATTCATTGCACCCATACTAATTTTGTTTGTGCAGTAGTATACAGACATCCTAAAAGCAATTTTGAAAACTTCACTGGTTATCTTATTTCATGTATCCATAAAATTTCGAATGAAAAGAAAAAATGTATAATAATGGGAGATTTTAATATTAATCTACTTAATTTTGAATCACATAGTCCAACCGAAGAATTTTTTAATACTATGACAGCTTATTTCTTCCAACCACATATAATCCAACCTACCAGAATTACAGATCATTCAGCAACTCTAATAGACAATATTTATTTAAATACTATTGAGTATAATACAATAAGTTGAAACTTGATATATGACATTTCTGATCACCTACCTAACTTTATTATAATTAGTAAATTATCTAGTAATAGCTATAATTATGATAGGCATATCAGAGATTACTCACAATTTAATGAGTCAGAATTTTTAGAAGAAGTTGCCACAATTGACTGGATGACTATCTTTGGTGGTACTGGTGACGTTAATTCTATTTTCAGTTCTTTTTTTGATACATTATCCACGTTAGTTGATAAACATGTACCCTTAAGAAAATTATTCAAGAGAAAAGCAAAACTATTATCTAAACCATGGATTACAAAAGGCATACGTGCTTCTATTAAAAGAAAGAACAAATTTTACAAACTATACATGAAATCAAAAAATACCTACTATTTTTCTAAATACAAATCATATAGAAATAAATTGAAGCATTTGATATTACTAAATAAAAAGTCATATTATGCTAAATATTTTGAGAGTAATTCCAACAATATTAAGAAAACTTGGCAGGGGATAAAACAAATAGTTACGTTAAAGAACAAAAATCTTATTGCCTTGGCAACCATAATTTATTATGCTAATATTGATCATTATCATCATAATGATCATCATGGTTGCCATTGCAACCATTATTCATTATGAATATTATGCTATGTATGCTAATTATATTCATAATCATCATCATTGTTGCCATAGCTAACATAATTTATTATGATTATTATGCTAATTTTATCATGATCATCATAATGATCATCCTGGTTGCCATGGCATTTGTATGACTATGTTTCGTGGTGTTTGTTTTCAAGGGGTAATAGATGGACAGAAGAGACAAAAATAAGGCTCACAGTAAATCTCATAGATGGAGAAAGAATAAAATTAGACCACTAGATGTCACCCAGCGAGGTTGATCTTTTTTGTTATTTTCGTAATAAATTTTTCAATAAAAATGTTATCATGTTTGCTCTCTTTTGTCATTTCCTACCATGTGTTGAGACCTCTGTGACGCTAGGCGAGCTACAGCGAAAGAGCACTGGCTTCAACTGTGATTAAGAAAGAGAAAAAAGTATTTAGTGAAGTCTTATCTGTACCCGTTTCGTTGAAGAAACGTTGAACGAAGATTCAACTTGTCGCCATAAAATATTTGAAACATCAGCCCGACTTTCTTTATATTTCAACTGAAGGCATTTCCGTAAAATACTTTATATAAAAAAGTCATTCGTATCCGGATTGGGTTCCTCCTCGAGGGGAAGAGTCGTGTATAGGTCACGTGATAACGAAACATTCTGAGCTCATCAGTGAAGGATGAACAATTGTAAAGGTTTTATTGTAACTCATAAGAATTACCAAAGGATATATTTTGTAAAATCTGTTATATTACGAGCGTCTTTCCTTAAGTCTAGCGACCTACATTGTTCCAGTACCGCATGAGGAACTCTAGCTCAAATCCTCTTGATCTGACGTATTCTTTTTAACTAATTAGAGCCTAGGTATGTGTAGTTTTCTTCTGATTTTGGTCAATAACTGACGCCATCTTAAAAAGAAAAACATTCGTATACCGTCAATATCACATCCGGACATTTAAATTACCCTAAGTTACTGACCAAATTTTTTTAACATGAATTGCAATATGACGAACCAACTTCGACAGGTTTTTATCAAAAATAACTCTAGGGCCATAATTTGTATTGTTTAGAATATCCCTGAGTTCATGTTTAACGTTCAAACACACGATATTACTGTCGTTATCCACAAGCTTGATTACTATTTCCACAAAGTTGAATTGACCCTTGAGAAAGAAGAAAACATTAACACAATTTAATCTCTTAAATTTCGTGTACTTACAACATTCATGATCACGCCAAAAAGGTTTACTTACTTTAATAGTTCCCATATTATACGACGTTTAGGAGTCGTTGTAGACAATAGTGACAAAGTCATTGCCAAATGTGTAATTTCTTCGAGTGAGAGTTTGGATGATTTTCTTTGTTTGGCATTAATATGGCGACATGGAACATAACTAAATTTAAATGTTAGGACTTTTTAAATTGACTGTATATCATTCCATGTTCAACACTTGAAGCACAATGACTAAAAGAGCTACATTCTTGGACAAAAATGTTGTAACACCCCACCCCCAAAGTCAATGTTGTATGGAGATTTCGTAGCAACATTGAATTTGAGGGAGGGGATTGGTGTTACAACAACTATGGTCCAAAAATTGTAGAAATCAGATTATGCAATGACTGTGTGCAATCTCACTTCTCCATCTATAACCGTAGTGTACATCTGCGCCGTTTCTTTCCAAGCCCCCAGCATAGACCTCAAATTACAAGAAATCTCTAAGACGCACAAATTCACCATGATCGGAGAGGAACATCATGTACCTGGAGGATCCATATTGATTACGCAGGATAGAAACCTCATCGTTTTCCTGGTCTCGACCCACAAACTTATCAGAATTTTTGGTAGCAACTTGAAGCGGTCATCGCAGTTTAGGGAATATAGTAAGAATATGCACTAACGTCTTGTAAGGTTCATGCAGTATACAAACCTCTTCTTTCAGGTCATGGAAAAAGTACATTTTCATCGCCAAACCAGGATGACTGAAAAATTGCAAGAAAATAAAATTCGGGGGCATCGCGTCATAAGTAGTAGACACGTATTCCACGTTCTTCTCGCAACGTTTGGTGATCGAAACATGGAACAGTCCGTTGTTATTTCTTCTATTCACTTGGTTTCTTGGAGGTTGGTTAGCTGCTGACAATGTTTGACGTGGCATCACCAGGGGCTGCCTCTTCTCCTTGCTTTTCTTGTCAACTTCATTATCAAAATACTTCCTCAGCCCCAACAAACACGAAATTATTTTAATAATCCTAAACTCGATTCGGGAAAGATCATTCAGTCGTTACTAACCACGTCTTCCGTTATTCGGTTCATCTAATCCCGGAGATGACGAAGTCCGAGATTAGACACTCTTCGTTCGCGACAAAATCGGAGTAGTTGCGAGCGACTGTTTAACTGCTTGTCTCACTGACTGGACAACATCGCTCAAGGTGGGTTTGGGGACTCTGCCCACGAGAACCAGGTAATGACGTAGTGTCGTCGACAGCGATAATAGCGTGATTTGTCGCACAATCTTCGTTTACATCAACAAATTCTGGAAAGCAAGTCCGGTCATCCTCGTGAACAGGTAAATTTTTTAGTTAATTGAGCGGAACTTTCGGCTTTTGAGCTTTACCTCTAAATTTCGACGAAGGAAACGTGTTGTTATAATACCTGGATTTTCTGAATGCTCCACGCTATTGTCTCCCTGCAGTAAATAAGATAAGTTGCAAGTCCTCACCTTCAATCACGAGGATTAGATTACGTAATTGAAAGTGCTAAATTGAGATTACTGGTTTCTGAGTTTACCCGTTTATAATGCTCAGTTTAGTCCGTAAGACCAATTTTATCATTATTATTACTTAACTCACGGATTCATCATGTTCATCCTCGTGTTAACTGAGAAAAGTTTTAAAAGGACTTGCATCCAGAAAGGATTTACCAAGAACAGGTTAAAGTTAAACAGATGTTGAGATTAATGCACGATGATTCGTGATCTTAAAATTGCGATCTTTTGAAACTCTTCACGAGTTAATAAGTCTTGACTGTTCCCTGTGAAAGAAAAATATGTAAATATAGTCATATTATAATGCATATCTCCTTCATATTGCAAAGGTAATTTCGCTTGCCTTCAGTTTCTTCCTTGTGTAAAACACTGTCTTTGGAATCTGGTACGAAATCAAGAAGCTTAAGAAACGATTGAAAATAACAAAGCTAGTCTAAATCAAAGATCTCTTTCTTTTCTGCTTTCCCTGCCAGTCATGTTAGAAGCAATATTGGGATGGATAGTGAATGTGCTTGCATGAAATAAATTTCACGCAAAGCAAGTTTGAAAAGAAATTCTTACCATAAAAGCGCTTGGTCCATTCCTCGGACTACGAATCAAATATCGAGTTCGTTGAACAAACGACGACCCAAGATTCAATTTTTGACCGGAATCTTGTAATAAAATTGACGAGGGTGAAGATCTGCCGTGTTCTGTAAGCAGCACCTTTTGTTCTGCGTTGTTTAAAATGTAAGCACATATTTTTTTCATTTCGTAAATGCGCGAACAATGGCCGATCTGTTTTAACATTACAAACATC